GCTTAGGCTGGTGGTTACTGTCCCAAATGTTCATTAAAATCTTGACATAATATACGTTTTTTCTGTTGTTTCATGTGAGAGATGAAATACTACAGTATAATATATGAGCTATAGATATTTGGAAGTATATCATTTGAGTGAAGGGAAATTAATAGCAGAAAAATTTGTGAATAAAAAAGGATACTGCAGTAACGCTTAAACCAAAAAATTAACGCACTGATCTTTTATTTTTAAGCCTAATTTTTAAAAAAGGGACACGAAAATTAGTCTTAAACACCAGAAAATGTCTTTGTTTCTTTTTTTTTTTACTGTTTGCTAACCCTAGTTCCAGTGGATTAATTCAATTATATTGTGCCCATTATCTGTTATGGACAAAGACCAACACAAGGCACATGGCCCACAACTGGGATCAGATCCAGCATTACGAAGCGTTTGCATTGACTTTACCACTTTTGCCAAGGTGCAATAAACGACATAAAGAATGCAAATCTCTAGGGGCTGAAACATCACGATTGACTAAAACGCTGCTGGTAAACTGGGTTCAGTTTTTATAATTGTTCACTATCAACAGTGGACATGTACCTGATCTTTTGAAATCTCTCTTCGTAGATTTTTCAAAAAAAGTTATGGAAAAAAAAAATTTTCAAACACTTTAGGAAAGAATGATTGACATAGAGCTCTTGTGGTGTGTGCTTTATTAATTATACTAAAGCATTAAGTCAAACACAAAAGATATTAGTATTTTGGAAACTTAAAACATTGATAGTAAGAATAAAAAAAAATTGCACCAGGAAGCAGCCATAGGGATTGACAACCAAGTTATTTTTTAAACATTAAACAAGGAATTAGGGATGTGTAATATCACCAGATTTTTTCCAACTTGTACAGGGACTGTTAATCTAATATGCTGACTTTTAATCGCTTAAAGTGAAACACACAAATTTAAGAAGTGATGGGTATAATTGGTAGTGTAAACAAGGTTTGTTTGAACAGCAGAAAAATTGAAGTAATTGTCATAAAAAAATACTCTTCTAAAATGCAGCATCAAAGTAAATAAGACCTAAAGCAAGTCATCTGGGTACTCTAAAAACGTCTATTTGGGAAGTTAAATGTTGAATAGCCGAAGCCCCCATCTGATGTTTCTCCTAGAGGGGCCTGTGTGTCCCAATGACCCTAAGAGCTATGCTGACGGCAGTTTAGCTACTGGTAGGGTCCCCCCATGTCAGACAGGTTGAAGAAGAGGAACCAAATGAAGAGACACTCCCCAAATTTCATGTCACAAATGAAAATATATCAATATGGTGCTAAGACCAAAAAACATATAGCCCAGGAAATAATGCCTTTCAAGAGAAAAGACTCACTAGCAGTGTGGGTAGACAGAAAAAGCATTTGATAAAGTGTTGGAGGGACTACAAAAAATGGACGTTTGTGGGAAAATGTATAACTGGATTAGTCACTACCTTGAAAATAGAACTGCCAGGACAAACTAGTAAAAAAAATGTCCAAAATAACGTCGTGTGCCTCAAGGGGAACTATTGTCACCAACATTGTTCTTAGCATATATTATTATTACAAGTATTTTTCCAACTAGAGTACACACCTCATTCTTTGCAGATGACTTAGCTATATGGACTAGCGAAGAACATATTAGTGTAGCTAACAATAGAATGCAGCAAGCCTTGTCCGTGTTAAAGGAATGGTATAAAAAATTTAGAAGGCTGACAGATCACTCCATGTATCAAAGGTTTAATCATCTGGGAAGGGGAAGACTAAAGCGAAAACACTTTGTAGAGATTTCAAAAACTAAAATCAGGGAAGATCCTGTACTTTAACTTATCAGTATCCAAACCTGTCCACATTACATGTACGCTCCCTGCTTGGATTGCAACCGGAAAGTTCTCAAGTTATTTTAGTGCAGAGGCCCTGAGAACTGCAGCAGAAATGCTTCTGTCAGAGAAAAATAAAGTGGAATACATAGCTATCTTCACAGATGCAAAGTCAATTGTCTCAGCACAGAAGAGCAAAAATAATACAGAACTAGCAGACCTTAGAGCTGCACTCCATGTACTGCATATATTGGAAACTCTTGCAGCAAGTGTTTAGCCGTCATTTTACCCAAGAGAACAAGTAGTGATCTTTACTCCGCACAGGACATAATAGGCTTAAACACCACTTGTTCAATAAACTAAAGATAGGAGGCAATGATGATTGTAACTGTAGAAAGGGTAAAATGACGGCTAAACACTTGCTGCAAGAGTTTCCAATATATGCAGTACAGAGAAAATAATTCTGGCTAACACTTTTGAGGATAAACTGTGATGTCAACAACCTCAAGTTGACTGCTGATTTCTTCAAATAAATCCACACTGACATCTGAAGGATAACACCATCTGGGATTCTCTAAGCTGATAGTCCCAAGAGATGCAGAGCTTGTAAACCACGTAAAACTATAGTGGATGAGGAAATCCACTGCAGTAAAAGTCTAACATGCAAAAGAAGCAAAGTACTCATTTTGTGGTGTAGGTAAATGATATACCAGGCCTGCAAGCTGCATACTGTTGGCTACAAAAGAGATAGCCCATGATGTGGAACTGAGGTTAAACAGTCAACAATACCAGAGCACCATGTATTAGCTCTGCATTTGTGGAAGCCTCCTTGGATGGCAGAGAATGTTTATGTTCTGCCCCTGCCTTCTCTTGAGAGTTAATCAGCATTATGTGGCCTCTCTAGACCAGCCTGATTGGGGCACCACCTGTGACCTGGGAAATAAAGATGACCGCACAACAATGAGAGTGCCATGTCCCCAGAAACTAACTGGGAAGTAACCCGGTCAATAAATGCCAGTAGAAGTCGGAGTGTTGGCCATAAGGTTCAATATTGCAGCCAAGCTGTAAACGGACACAACGCAATTACATCAGATGAACGCAGAAGAAGAGGAATAACTGAAGCAAATACAGCATTTTACTAAATATTTTATGCAATCTTGCTTTTTCAGCCGAGGCGAGAAAGAGTTCCAAAAAGCTATATAAATTGTACATTAAAATAGTGTGAATCATGGAGTTTGAAAAGAACTAATTGCCACAATGCGACACAATTCTCATGCGATGAGAAAATTGGAATTCATTGTGACAGTAGGAAAGTTGGAGAGGCAGAAGACCAAGAGAACAGATGTTGGACAATGAGATGGCATGGAAGATCGTGTGACAGTTGTGGCAAAACCTGAGGGTATTCGGGCTGCTATCGCCATACTTTTGTTACTATTATTGTTTGTGGCTTTGCTTCAGTTCTATCAGGATTGTCAGATGTTTTCTCAGCACACCATGGTGGTCTGGTTCCCTGGCCTCCCATCATGTGTTTAATTTTCTTCCCTCCATTCTGCATGCATTTTTAGACCGTCCTTACTGACTGATCCACTTGTGCGAGCAAGGCCTGGATTTCTAAGCTGCTGTTTAACTATCCCCCTTGTCGCCATCTTTCTCATATTTCATTTCAGAGGCCTAAAGTTGGTTTCTGCTTTAGTTTGTGCATGATGATACCAATGCATAATTTTACAAACTGCACAGAAAAAAAGGTGATTGCCATTTTCATTCATCTATTTTGGCGGAAAAACTCAATGTCCTGTAAAAAGTCGGCAGCTGCTTGGGTAGTTTTAATACACGTATTCCAGTCTGTTACACTGCCATTTTTCTTCAGCTTTTCTGTCTACAAACTTGGTTGACCATTGACTACAAATGTTTGTGCGATTCAGACCTTACAGTCGTTAAGTGAACATCCTCTTTGTGCTGCCTCCTTTCTTTTCTTACTATCCTGACAACTGAAGAAATGCACATAAACACAGCACATGAAGCAATAAACAAACAAATCGACAATTTTCAATTTAATTATACATTTAGCAAATTTCTTTTTGATACTAGATTAAAAGAAACATCTAAAACTCTGCTACTGCACATTCCACAGGCAATACAGATTGTGAAATGTAAAACACAAAGCCAAGTCTTTCCTTGGAGCTTATTTGTCAAGACTCAAAAACTTAATCTGCACTCTTAAAACATTCTTTTGCTATACACACTTTATAATTACATATCTGCCTGTTTTATGATTACATAAGGGCCCTTGAATAGTCAGAATGTAAACTGAAAGCCCAGGACCTTGTCAGGTTACTATATCGTTACCCGGCTCATGTATGGCCTCATTAAAATACTTGTATAAATCACACCATGGGCAAGTCTACACAATCAGTTGAAGTAGGATAGATATCCTAAAATGTGCATCCTTAATAGTGTACACAAAAAGATTGGGACAGTGAATATGAGAGATATATATATCTCTCTGATAAATGAAATAGCCTCATGAAGTGTCTTGTGACATATTAGAACATAGCTGGCTGTCTTGGATGGAGACTTGACACTTCACCATGTAACACTAAAGGTAGCAATGCTGTCACATTACCTCAGCCATGTTGTATATCATTTGCAAATGATATCGCAAGTAGGAGAGTATTAAAAGATGAGCACACAAAAGTGTTGTATATCTATTGCAGCCAACCCTAGCCATGGGCTATGAGAGAGCAACTGATTAGTATAATTATAGTACCTTTGTAGTCATCTAATAGATGCTATTGTGCTGCTTAAATCTGTAAATCAGAGCTCTAAAAAATGCAACAAATCAAGGCAACTTCTAACCAAGAAAAGGGGAGATGCAAAAAAAAAAAAAAAAGTTACAACACGGCAGACATAGATAATATATTTCCAGCAAATGTAAGAACAGCTACTTAAATGTCTGTTAACAACTGCCTTAAATGTAAGTCGGCCAGTTACAGGGACATAATGCTGGCTATGTGATAACATCAAATAGACACACTGTCTACTAAAAGCTCATCCATCAACTGTCAAATTTGCCTGTGAAACGAGGCTTTCTGTGTTGTTGCTTCAGCTATAGCATTGATGTTCTGTGTGATTCCAAGCAGGTCAGAGGAGACATGACCTTAGATGTCTGGAGCATCACCTCATGTCAGTGAGAAGCTGTTGCACATAGTCTAGAAAAGTACCACTGTCCAGTTGGTCTTCCGGCAGCTTGCTGCGTAGAGAAGCCTGTTGGACAAGATCAGCCATAATATTACTGCAAACAATTTATCTTTCAGCCTATAATAGTTACGTTAACTTTAAAAAAAAAAAAAAGTTGAAAACAACACTTTGTAATATTTGGAGTTTAAAAGAGGTACTGTAGATCAGACAGAAGTGGTTAACCTAGTAATCATACAAAAAGGACCTAAGAAAATTGTTTCACTTATCAAAACTTCACAACTTGTCCACACACAACAGAAAATCGCCACACAAACCAAGCAGTAGCACTGAGTAAAACAATTATACCAGTTAGGAAACATCATAAGTTAACAAATAAATGGGTATACAATATCAAAAATGTTGAAATTACAACCATAAAAAAAATATGTTTCTGTTTTGCTTTTCTGGACAGAAAATTGTCTTTCCATGGCATGTGTAAATACAAAAAATGGTGAGATTACATCGTCTGAGCACTCAGTCTGCATTATTTAAATCAGGGCTATTCAACTAAGTTTGCTAGCGGGCCAAAATGTTGAACATGGAGATAATCGCGGGCCAATGACGAGCCCATACAGTTGACAACATTTTCGAAAACTATTACACCTAGGACTTAGCCTATACAAATGAAGTAGCGTTGTAAACCATTATAATGTAAAGTGTACTACAGTCTTCTGTAATTATTAATCACTTTGATTGATTTACATTTAAAAAAAAAATAAATACATTTCACTATTTTGGCAACGATCGGCAGGCCATTTGCTAGGCCCCGGCAGGCCATTTGCTAGGCCCCGGCAGGCCACTTGAGTTGGCCCGCGGGCCGCTAGTTGAATAGCCCTGATGTAAATGTTAATTTTGTTTGTCCATGTGTGCCAAAACATCTGACTGTGATATAGGTTGTGCCCACAGTCATCCTCATCATCACAAGAGCTCAAATGGTCTGTTGGTGGAGTGGTTGGCATACACATCCCTAGAATATCACTGCTTGAAAGAGTGGTACTGGTAAAAACAGTATCAATGTTCAGCTTTTGATACAATCTAGCAAGTAATGGTTCCACTGAAATATCAGTGACATTAACGCTTTTGCTCACTAATGGTGCAGAATGTTTATTTACTGGCACATCTACTGTTAAGTTAAGAAGCCAGCTTGTCTAAAGCAGTTTGCAATAGTTGCAAGCAAAACTGTCCCTTGAAGATTTTAACATTATAATAGTATTACGAAGGGTTATTTTAAAATCAGAACTGAAGTGAACATCCATATGACCTAGATTGTAGACTATAATGGACTTTCAGTTTTGAATGATACCTTGATCACAGGGCTGAATTGTTGATGTGGCATTAGGCGGCAGAAACACAAGTTCGGTTGTTTTCAAACTGTTAGTTATTTTTTTTGCTTTTTTTTTTTAACGTATCCAGAAACCATGAGTTGTAAACCCTTTGGCTCGGTACTATAGATATCGCAACCCTTCGGCATTGATTCCATTAAAGGTACCGTTAATCTGGGAGAAATGTGGCTTTTCTGCCTACCCCTGGGCGTGAACCCAGACCACAAGGAGTTCGTCACCCGGCCGCCGCGAAAGTCAGGTTTAACCAACTTCGCTAGACAGCTGTCAACAATTAAAAGAACTTGTTTTTTAAACGCATCATTGAAGAATTAAATTCTTGTAGCCACTCAGTGAACAATTCTGATGTCATCCATACCTCCGAATTGGCTCTGTAGTTAACACATAATTTTCTCAGGTCTTTGAAACAACAAGGATTTTAAAAATTCCCAATCACGAAAAAAGGCCATTTTGGGTTACCATCCATATATATATATATATTACAACACACAACTAGTGTTATTCTTTCTTTTTATTTGTCCCTTTTCATGTTTGAAGGAAAATGTTTTATCAGGTATCAGTCTCCAAAGTCAGCCAGTTTCATCAACATTAAATACATCTGCAGAATTATATTTAGCCAAAGCTGTTTATGAGCATATATGTCTATCAATTTATTGTTGCTTCGTCAACAGATTGTTTCTATCCACACACATTCTGTAATATTATGCAATGTATTTTTTTAATGGTCTAACCATCCAGTTCTGAATTTGTAGTCTGACCTTCAAGACGTGCAAATTCCTCTGTTTTTGCGAAGTGAACCATTTTAAAAGGGCAGTATCGATAAAATCTCATGTCGCTGTTTTAACTCACTGTCACTTTTATTTGACATTAAAAAAACGATGTTCTGTAGTCTTCATTATCCTTTAAGATGTAAGAAATACCATATTCTCTAACTATATTCACTTTCTTCTTCCCACTATGTTTAATCTCTTCCAACAGCTCAATCTTTCTTTCTTCTTGACCGCTGGCTGCCATTGTTAATACTGTATAATAGAGATATCGTAGCTGCAAGATTTCACGGGCTGACTTAAGAAGAGTTATTCATGAAACAAATTTGTTCGTGTTGATAATGAACAGTTCGACTTGAACCGAATCCCGTATATAGTCAGAATTTTATTTGTAGATTCTACTGATGCAAATATTTGAGTTAACCGAATTTAAATAAAAAGGTAAAGAAGGAAAATAGCCCGGTTAGCTGGTCATGCCGACTGAAGCGAAATTCGTCTTATCAGAGTTCGACTTAAGTGGACTTGACTGTATAATGAATGTCAATGACAGTAAAAACAAACTTTTTTTTAAATTTTGTGAATGATCGAGTACTAAACGCATGTATTCGCAAACAAAAAGTCAAATCAACTACAGTAGTTAGCGTTGCCATAATTTTGTAATACTGTGAATGCAAGTTGGGTTTCTCATTGGCTTAAAAGAAGGTGTTTATTGTTGAAGTTGTGTGTACTACTACTCACTTTGATCTTATCTTTGTATGTGATGGCTTCGCCCCAGTGCTCCTTCAGGTTGACCTTGTCCACAGCAAGTCGGTAGAATTCTGTCAGATGTTTCTGTGTGGTCAGGATAAACATCATGTTAGTGCCCAGAATCTGACTTTTCTTTGCTAACAAGCATTAGCCAGTTGTAGACCTGAAAGTTTCTGACACTGGTCAGCTAAGTGGAGTGTAAGTTTCTTGGTATCGAGTATTTTTCAATCACAGCGTTTTGTGGTCTCAATGTAAACAACTGATCCCATCAGCCATCTTGATATCAGCCATCTTGATATCAGCCATCTTGATATCAGCCACCTTGGAGAGTCAGAGATCCAGGAGTTGCTGACACTGATGAGTTAGGTCATGTTTACACCCATATATGGACGTTTCCCGGAGGCTCTAAGGGTGAACCTTCCCGTTGTCAAACAGTTAGGAGTTTATCTACCTGAGAGGTAAGGAACCAGCAGTCTGCTAACAAATTAGATCTGTAAAACAGTTATGCACCCAACTACTGGTTTCCAGAACAGGAGTACAGCCTAGAAGAGGACGAACAACAAAAGCTTCCCACTGAAGTTTACAGCTGGTGAACACAAGAAACAGAGAAGTAAGGGTCAAAGAGAGAGCTGTAAATGGACAAGATGACACTCCCGAAACCTCCTAGAAAATGCAGGGGACATACCACCAATTATAAGGGTATATGATACATACAGTTATCTCCTTCTGGAAGTAGGGTTGCTCAGTAAAAATTTTTTTTTAAAAATCTGACAACTAAGATTAGCTCAGTAAAATTATTAATATTGCATTAAAAAAAAAAACTTTTTGAGAAAAACAAATATTGAATCTCACAGAAGGCATGTGTGTAAAAAGAATTTTTCAAAAAATTTTCAGCACAGCATAATATCGCTATTCTCTTGACCTGAACACAGCCTTAACCTGTCTGCAATGCTCGTCTCCTTTGTCTATATTTGCTTCCCAATCCCCTCCCCTCTCTCACGATGCCATACAATGCATGACATCCTGTTCCCAGGAATCCTCCTCAACACCTGTATCCATCATGTCCTGCTTGCAAACATCTCTAAATGGTAGTAGAGGGCAACCCCAACATCTTCCACATATCTGTAATACCACCACAGAGAATGCCCATAGGGACTCCACCAACTTCTGAGTGTGTCCTAGCCATCTCAGCATTGTGAAAGCTTTGTCAGCATTCCTCCCACCTAATGCCAAGTAATCAACTAAAGACTTTGTTCTGGCTATTAGAAACATCCACACAAAGCTACTCTGGAGTTGGGACAACTCTCAGGATTTCTTGTGCAAAGCAAAGGAGATTACAACTGCAGGTGAAATACATACAACTATGACAGAAAGAGATGATACAGCGCTACACACACTTTAAGTACTCAGAAGATTCCTGGATTTCAGTTGGTACCAGGGACACAGCGGTGCTGAACCACAGGTGGTTGTGCACTATGCCTAGGGCTCACAGATCTAGACCTGTCTATACTTCACATTGTAGAAACAGTTTCTAACCAGGAGCCTGGCTAACATAGATAGAACTGACAGTCTGCACATAATGAGCCAAACCTGTAAAACAGATGTGCACTTGAACAAGAGCAAAGCCCACAAAGATGACCAAGAACCAGGACTTTTTGTCAAGAGTCTACAGCAGGTGATTGCAAACAAGAAGAACTAGTTATAAATTGTACTTGCCATGTCTGAGAGCAGGTCCTCTGTCAGGGATGAGTCTCGAACAACAGAGTATGAAATGTGCATGGGGATGTTGTAGGAGGCTGGGTGCTAGGATTTGTGAGGCAGACATTGCTTATATTAGTTTAACAATAACAAACTATAAACTGTGAAAGTGGTTACAGAGCAATCAGATACTGTAGCATCAACAATTATTACAAAACATGCATTCTGCTTATCAAAATATTCATCTTTATCTTCACAATAACCAACTGAAAACTCCTTCAGGAAGGTTCTGGTTTTCTGTCCAGCTCTGAACTTTAGTCTTGTTCCAGAACCCAAGTGTTGCATGCTCATCCATTTTACAGACTTGACTTATTTATACCCAGATTGTTGATTCCTTGCCTCTCAAGAAGATGCATTTTGAAGGAAGCCCCCCAATTAGATTAATTTTTTATTAATTGCTTGTTGGGGAGGCAGTGTGACTATTCTTGTTTTACCCACGATGGTAACTCACACAGGCATATTGAATTACACCCCAGGTGGCGCAATGATTTATGTCACAGGCGTGAGGGGAAGTTAAGTCCAACATGATGTGTATAAGAAGATACTCCGTACGTCACTCGGGCGCCAGTCCTTCACTGTTGTGGTTTTACGGAACCTCACGCAAGACCCCTGCAGCACGTCCTCGTCGTGCGCCACGGATAATGTCTCAAACGAGCATTAACAGAGCTGTCAGGGGATCTCGGAGTTTGGCGGCCCCCAGAGGTGATGTGTCCTTGTGGCTCTCATCAGCCCGCCCCCAAACGCTTGGGTGAAAAAGGTTATCAAAACTCATTAGGAACATGAGTATGCTTGCCAAACGTACAGCTAAAAATCACAACCCTTGGTTAAAAGAATGCGAAGAGAACATTGTTCACTGTACATCCTCTGTTAACCCTCAGTGTCGTCGTCACCGCGCTGAGGTACACCACAACAGCAACCATCCCTAGGCTGGACATCCATGTACATCCTCGGTTAACCCTCAGTGTCGTCGTCACCACGTTGAGGTACACCACAACAGCAACAGCCCATTGGCTGGCTAAGCCTAATTGTCCGACAAAACTAGATCCTACGGCACAGTGACCTCAAAATCTGACCTCCACAATTTGTACTGAACGTAAAAAAGACCAAATGTCCACACCCAAAGACCCCACTCGCCCGAGTGTTGGGACCAAACTGATAACGCTATGACGCAGGATGTAAAATTCTGTCGGGCTAACGGCTCGTCAAAGAAATCTAACGTGCGAAGAAAAAAGAATGTGCCTATTCGTGTGGTCACAAAAGTCCAAAATCCACAGACTGCTCGCCGCTGACTTCCAGAGGGCGCAGCTCTTGTCGAGCGGGAAGCCTAATACGGTTGTGAGGTTAAGCAGGCATGTGCAGGACGTGACGATTCCTTGGGTGAGCCCAGAACCAGAGCGCCATGTGCCGGCTCTGCATACATGGAAGCCTCCTTGGATGGCGGGGAATGCCCATGATCTGCCACTGCCTTACCTTGAGGGCTAACTGTTCCACAGGAGGCTGCCCCAAAGGGGTACTCCGGGGGCAATACCTGTGGAGAAGGAGACAAAGTGGACTCCCCACAAATCAGGCAACGTCTTGACCCACACAAAACAATGGCCACAGTCAACCTACAAATAGGCCTGACATCTTCCTTCGAAGTCGGAGTACAGCTGCCCATGAGGCAGGGAACAATAAAACGGTTGTACATGCAAAAATCAGGTCCGGGTGAAAGCCAAAAGTCCAAGCGGACGATTAACCGTGACCTTCCGCCGGAATTCACAGCCGGTGAACGAAAAAAAAAAAAAATTACACCCCATATGGCTTGTCTATCTCTGTAGAATGGCTAGATGCCCACCAGGAGCATCACATAAAGCTCAAACTCTGTAGCTCCAGGGACCTCCTAAAAATTGCACACATGAACTGAACAATTATCAGTACTCTTTAGAGCATGAAGCAAATGACTTTACCATTTTGCCTCATCGACTATTAATAAACACAGACTCACATATATAGGTACAACCTACATTATGTAACCAAGTGTACGTCTGTACGTGTACATGTAAGTGAAATAGTAAAGGACATGTTTCCACATCATGTGTTGTGTCTCAACTGTCTACCAACATCATCATATGCTGTGCTGATAAAAAGTAGGCTGTTATGTTTCACCATCCGAGAGCACCACCAAAATCTTTACTTGTTTCACCCCAACCATACGGCCAAGCCATCCATGTTTGAAAATGCATCGGTTTTAGGAATGGGTACATGTGACTGAAGGTTGTGGACAGACATGACAACCAACACCAGATGGCAGGAGCTATAAAAATGTTCACACTTGATGTGCTATAGCAAAAATCAATATGATTACAACTAGTGTGCAATTTACTTCACAGAATCAACAAAGAACAGAACATTCATTCACTGATTACCTCCAAGTTTGGCATGACCCAGAAAGACTGTATTTTTGAGTCCGGTTTTGGAGGCAGCTTTTCAAAAGGAGCTGAGAAAAAAAAGTAACAATACGTGAGCAGTCTCCTATGTATTATTTAAGGCATATCAGAAATATGTTATCACGTCCATAATTTCTTTGGCTGAATTCAACTGAACCAGATGCTACCACTGAAAGCTAATGTAAGCTAGAAATAATCTGCTCATTGTTGCATTTATATTAGTGACATATTCGCAATGTCTGATCTCAATTAAAATTTAACAATGGGGAAAACAATCAGAACAGTTGTGCTACTGACAAGATAGCACGTGGTGAAGAATGGGTTACAGACAAACTTGCACAGAGTGATAGTTACCTTGGAGCAAGGGTGTCAGCAAGGGATGGCTGGTGAAACAGCGGTGCAAGAGCTGATCAATGAATATTCACAGCTAGCTAACATCATAATATATACAGATGGGTCTCTGGTGAGAGGTTAGAAGAGTGGGTGGGGTTTTATTTATTTTATTATAGATAACTGCCTCTACTTGACGGATGACATAATCAGAGTCATGTCTGCCAGTACTTGACTGATGACATAATCAGTGTCATGTCTGCCAGTACTTGACGGATGACATGATCAGTGTCATGTCTGCCAGTACTTGACTGATGACATGATCAGTGTCATGTCTGCCAGTACTTGAGGGATGACATGATCAATGTCATGTCTGCCAGTACTTGACGGAGGATATGATCAGTGTCATGTCTGCCAGTACTTGACTGATGGCATGATCAGTGTCATGTCTGCCAGTACTTGACGGATGACATGATCAGCGTCATGTTGCCAGTACTTGACGGATGACAGGATCAGTGTCATGCCTGCCAGTACTAGACTGATGACATGATCAGTGTCATGTATGCCAGTACTTGACGGATGACATGATCAGTGTCATGCCTGCCAGTACTTGACGGATGACATGATCAGTGTCATGTATGCCAGTACTTGACGGATGACATGATCAGTGTCATGTATGCCAGTACTAGACTGATGACATGATCAGTGTCATGTCTGCCAGTACTAGACTGATGATATGATCAGTGTCATGTCTGCCAGTACTTGACAGAATAGTTTATGGGGGGGGGGGGGGTGAAAAATCGTAGCATTATTGTCTTATTAGATACTTAAACAAGTGACTTCCTAATTAAGGGGTAAATGCAACAATGATTTTTAAGTGTTTTTAACTGGTTTGTATCTGGTTTAATTCTGCTAAAATGTGTCTAAATAGACCCTGAGAGGCAGCAGAGGTTCATGGTTGTGCACAGCAACCTCTTACCTGCCAAAAGCCATGCCAAAAAGTTCTGAGGTATATTACAGTTAATTTTCCGTACACAAATAATCAGCCTCTTTCCTCTTTTTCTACTTCTAGTAATTAAAAAAGACTTGTAGAAAGTGTTTACATAAAATATTCTGACTATAAAGACATAACATTCTTATAAAAAATACCAAGCAAGAGGCAGACAGTGATATTAATGGGAGGATAATATCAAAAGATGAAGAACAGCAATATGACACAGTGTACAACCAGGGTAAGAGTGCTGATCACGGTCAACCTTTATTACCAAGATGGCACCTGACTGACTGGTTGTAAACGCCAGTTGAAAGTTGTCTTTGTTCACCCAATTCTGGACTTTTGTTTTTGTACACATCCATTTTACCCATCTGGCTTATGCGTGTGCAGACTGTTTGGTTCCTTACATCTCAGGTGCACACATTCTAACTTCAATGGAAACACATAACTAGTGAACTCGTATGGCATGTTAGGGAGGAAGTGGGTCTATTCCCCTCCTCCCCCCACAATGGGGCCCTGGAACTCACATGGGGATGTCATTTTTCAAAAACCACAGCTTGTGTTAGCTTCTTACCATGCATCCAATAAATTCATGGCTAACTGTAACTAGAGTCAACTCCACAGTTGACGAGCATTGTCGCAAGTCAGACAGCCACCTTAAGCCTTGTATACGAGTAGGTACAAAACAAATGACACTTACAGATGATAAATCCCAAACAAGGGAGGTACATGGATCCAGAGCCTCTCATCTTCAACTGATAGGACATCTGACAGTCCACATCTCGGATTGATGGGTCTGGTTGGCAGTAAGGATGGCTGTGGTACCAACCAACAACCATCTGGTTCTTGTGCCTCATGTTTCGACGAATCTGTTCACAAATTTTAAATAGACAACTGTAGAAATCTAATCTGGGTTGAAAGGAGTTTTCACATGGAAAGCAGGGTCTGTGTCAATTATGTGTCCGGAATTAAGTAGATGGCATCCTATGGAAGAAGCGGGTTCTTTCCTCTTGACTGGTCTCGACACACTAGAAGCATCACTGAGCTGTGTATGTAGCCATTTGGGTATGTGCTCTGCCACTCTATTTCCAAGATGTATCTCCGTTCGACCGATGTAAGTCAACTGGCACTTACATGTAAATTGGTAAATACAATTAGATATGGTGTATGGAGAAAGGAGCTGTTTAATAGGTGGGGTTGGGTTAGAAGTGGTCTTGTACCTCACTACTGGAACAGCTGCAAAGAATGTTTGGCCAACTGCTGTTTTCAGTTGGTCCTGCGACGCTGCATGATGTCATCACCTCAATAAGTGAGTTGGATGTATACTCATAGTTTGGATACTGTAATTTCGTTCGGGGTAGGGTTGGGTGGGGTGCAATGCTACATACACAGCTTAGTGATTCTTCTAGTGTGTCGAGACCAGTCAAGAGGAAATAACCCACTTCTTCTATAGGATGTCATCTACTTAATTCCAGACACATAAATGACACAGACACTGCTTTCCGTGTGGTTTACCACATTCCGAACAGGAGACTTCTGAGAATCGCTAACTGATTTGTCAACTACTTTTTACTTTTCCTGGAGTAAAGGGAGAACCACCACACTAATATCTGAAGAATATAGTTAAGAAGCATGAGACAGAGGTGCGATGGAGTGACATGTTAAAAATATTTTGTATCAGTTTTAATAACAGCCTTAAATGACCTGCCTACTTTTGTACACAAGTGTAAAAATTACAAAAATGTGTGCTTTTTTTTAAAAGGGAAAACACTGCACTTTTCTGAGACACTCTTGATTAGTGAAACCAATTTCTAAGATATTTTTGTTTGTTTTGAGTTTGCTTCTCCCAGCATCTGGCTACCCCCACCCAGTCAGGATTGTGTCATTCTTGATCTGGTCCCTATTCTTTGGTCTCTTTGACATGGGAGACTCAACGTCAATGAGAAACTTTAGCTCCTTTACCATTTGAAATTCCAGATACAATAGAATAGAAAATTAAAATATAAAAGTCCATGAGAAAAATCTTCTTCTTCTTCTATCCTACAGATTATGCTGTAAAGCAGGGCAGAGAGGAATTAGATGTAGTGTCCTGTTTTTTGCTAGTTGTGCAGCTTGTATTAATATCATACTAAGTTTCTATAGTGTCTCTATTACACCCTCCACCGATATCTTTCTTGGTTGGATTCTGGCCTGGTAGTCTGTTGTTCTCATGTTGTATGCTCTAGCTGCTGATTATGCTCCAATATGACCAAACCATTTGATTATCTGATGTTCTATGAAATAGGAAATGTACGCTTCTCAATATAAGCGGTGTGTACCATTCTAGATGGGCACCCCCTGTGTGGGTTATGGGGCTCCTTTGATTACAGAAAAAAGGCCCCTAACAATAATTAGTGTGCTTCCTTTAAAGCTGGAGTGCATATGTCTGAGAGGAAAGGAATCAACAGTCTGCATACATATGTCTGAGAAGAAAGGAACCAACAGTCTGCATACATATGTCTCATATGTAAAACAAATGTTCATGCAGAAGGAAGTTTTAAAACAATACTAAAGTTCAGAAGTGGATGAACAACCAGATCTATATCACTGTTTACAGCTTGTGAAGATAAAAAAGAAGAAGAATATGGATAGAGTGTAGGAATCAATCAGGAAAGTGAGATTTAACATGGCAGACCTCCTCTTCCACAAGTGGCGCCCTGTCTTTGTCTCCAAGACGACAGCGGGCTGGAAATGCTTGCTCAATACTGAGATCTGTTTTAAAACAATACATTATTGTTAATTATTTAAAAAAAAAACATAAATTTTAAAACAGAATGGTGTAAGTGAAAAATGAAAAAAAAATATGTGAAAGAAGGAGTATGTTAATAAATTAAAAAAGGAAAACATACAATCAATTTTCGGGGTGGAGATGGGGGAATGTGGGACTGCTGTCAAAGCACTACATGTTTGATTGTCAAGATGTGCACACGGGCTACAGGGGCTACGTGAACTACCTGAAATAAGGAAAAATGAGCTTGGGTTGTGAACTGGCTGGGGACAGTCGTTGACCGGATGTCTTAGCGGACAGTCTGGACAACTGTAGCGTGGCCATGCTGCATGAAAAGTGGTTTTAGTTAATGAGTTAGACAGTTAGATTATGTGTTAAATTATTTAGAACGATGTAGAAATGATGGAATAATAAAGGTAAAAGTAATGGAGCTCAACATGTTGTATCTACATTAGACGTTCTCGTGTGGATTGTGAGCACATTCTGATATAGTTTGTTCGTGTTGTCATCTTGGCTCGTGATTGCAGTGTTAATGTCCTTTGAATGTATCAAAAATAAACTATATCACATCACTCATAACTCTTGATACTTATCAAGCTCAGGGAGTCGGAATCTGAGAAGTACACGTGAGCACGTTTGTCAGTGCAAGTTGAATGACCTTTATACACACGTGCTCTGATCTTGCCACCCACCTCTCGACCTCTGACAGTCTACAATTAAACAAAAATTACATTTACTGAGCCTACTTTTTTCCTCGTTTTCAAAAAAAAGTCACTAATTATTTTTTGGTCAACTGAACACTGGCCAACAGAGATGAGATTTTTAAAAAAGTCCTGGGAGGTAAAGGTGGCCGGCGTGATGTTGACCACAGCACCCACTGAGTGCTGACTTGTCTATCAATTATAGGCCTGGCCTTATATGCACAAATATGTCTAAGGGCACGGAAAAGGTTCCTCTACTGATTGAATACAACATATATTTAGTTCTCAGTTGTTATGGTTAGTTAATTGCCTATCCTTTACAGGACGTTGCATAACCAACCCCAACAGCCCCTGGCTGTTGTGTGGTTTTTCTAGGCAAATTTACGTCCAGTAGTTTGCCATTGCTTTCTGGACGGTCAGCTTTCTTGATACCACTGTCGAAACCAATGCAAGGCACATGGCCCGCAGCTGGGATCGAACCCGGCATTACGAAGCGTTTGCAACACAATGTAAATATTTGAGAAATGAATGTCCCCAATCAGCACACCATGTGTGACAGACTTGTATTCATGTGTAACAATCAATGTGTTATGTGTAGGTTTATGTTGTTTGTTTAGTCAGAGACTCTGAAGAAAACTTGACAATGTAAGCTTTCCCTACAAGGCTATTAGTGATAACTTGAGTGAAAAGTGGGGCCGCGTTAGCGCACTTGATAGGAGACTCGCTTTCAAATCCAGCTGCGACTCGCTGCAGCCACGGTCGGTGTTCGAAACCGGGCGGTTCCAATGGTTCACCCAGCCTCTAGGAAATGGGTACCAGAGTTAACACTCTGGGGTAAATGGAGAAACGTCGCTGTAGCTATGGAGTTTCATGCGGACGGTGACACAGGCGTACAGTTTCCTCTCAGCTGTCCGTACTGGTGGCAGAGCACTTATGGTTTATAACCGTGTGCAATTACGCTGGTTCACATCTCCCGACTTTTTTACTTTTTTCTTGAGTGAAAAGAGCTATCTACAACTCTCATTTTGCACACAGGTATATAATACTGTTATTCTGACTGCTGTCTTACGCATTTAGTGCATGTGTATGCTGTTGGTTTTGCTGAGAATGCAGTCAGTTTTTTCACAAGGAATAGTGACGGGCATTCTGTGTCATTCCTGTTGCTACAGGAACAGAGCAATAATGGGGTGACACGTTTGCTATTAAGTTGGAATGGTGATAATCAGTTAACCTGAATACTATTATGAATACTAACGCTGCGTGTGAGAATCCCATCGTCCACCCAGGTAGCCTACAACCTCAGATTTGGTCAGGTGACAGTGAAAGTCCTGGCAAAAAAATAACAAACAAAAAAAGCAAGAATAAGAACATTCATTAGTTGTAAAAGATCAAAGAATCTATACGTTAACAATGGAATGGAAGATTTGTTTGTAGTTTCTTTTCATATTCTGTCTGATTTCAAGTTCTGATTGTTCATCAACTCTGACTTTAGTTTTGTTCCATAACATGAGTGTTATGTGCATCCCTTTTTTACAGATCTGGCCTATTTTATATGCAGACTGTGGGTCTCTCATCTTTCAGGCAAGTGAACTCAAACTCTGAAGGAAACACTCCCAGTTATAGTTAGTTGAATTTGATGACATGGCTGTTCCACCCCCCCCCCCCCCCCATCACGACACAGTTGGAAGTAGTAAATGTCTGTAACAATACAGTAAGCTGTGAAGAGCTACATTACAATAGAAATGATACAATGGGAAGGAATGAGTTGAAATTAGAAGACAACAGGAAGTAATCTTCTACTTCTTAATTCCCGCTCACCAGCTGTAAACTCAGGCAGAAAGTTCTGGTTGTTTGTCCACCTCCGAACTTTAGACAGTGTTCCAGAACCTAAGTGCACATCCGTTTTGGAGATGTGGCTTATTTTTTTATGCAGACACAGGAGGTAGTAAGTTTTAAGTAACAATACAATGGAAAGTAGTGTTTCAATAACAACACAGTATATTACAAAAAGTGTTACAATAACAACACAATACACATAGTGTGTTTTGATAACCATGCAATATAATACAAAGATGGGAGTTTCAGTAGCTACAGTGGAAAGAAATGAGTTTTGGAATACAATGGAAAGTAGTGTTTCAATAGCAACACAATATAATACAAAGTAGGGAGTTTCAGTAGCTTCAGTGGGAAGAAATGAGTTTTGGAATACAATGGAAAGTAGTGACTGGGTCGACAACTTACCATCAACAACAGTGTGTTGCTGGTGATGGAGACTGTGAATGGCTGAATCTTGCTGTGTTGATCAAACTGTTCACACTTGACCAGAGTCAGCAGGTCTCTGCCAACAACATTAATGGTTCAGTCATCTTTCAAAAAACTGGACAATTACATGGTGCCATTTATACCCACTAGCAACTGGATATTGTCCTCAGCGATCTTTGGTTATGCGCTTAATCCACTGAGTGAGTGTCGTATCATATGTACTTATTTATATTCCCAGTGTGTGTGTGTGTGGGGGGGGGGGGGGGAGAAGGGAAGACCCACTGTTCCATTACAAGCATGTTGTTAAAGTTGACTAGTTAAGGGTATTTTCTTCAAAGTCTGAGTGCATCTGCCTGAGAAACGAGGAACTAAGGGTCTGCATACAATCAAGTCCAGAAGTGGATGCACAACCAGAACTTTCTGCTGGAGTTTACAGCCAGTGAATGTTAAGAAGAAAAAGAAGAAGACACCCATTTAAGGCTGGGTTGATATGGGAGCTTAAGCCAATTTAACATAAATCTCTGTGCCATGTGCCACAGTCAAGTCGGAAACAGACTATAGTTAGTCAAGATTTGTTCAGCTCAAACAGAAGATTTGTTTAGCTGAAACAGACTATAGTTAGTCAAGATTTGTTCAGCTCAAACAGAAGATTTGTTTAGCTGAAACAGACTATAGTTATTAAAGATTTGTTCAGCTCAAACAGAAGATTTGTTTAGCTGAAACAGACTATAGTTATTGAAGATTTGTTCAGCTCAAACAGAAGATTTGTTTAGCTGAAACAGACTATAGTTATTGAAGATTTGTTCAGCTCAAACAGAAGATTTGTTTAGCTGAAACAGACTATAGTTATTGAAGATTTGTTCAGCTCAAACAGAAGATTTGTTTAGCTGAAACAAACTAGACCCAAAACTCCTCTAACAACTAAAGCTCATGAGAGTGTTAAAACTTCAGAACTCCATGCAGCACGAATAAAGTGTTCACCTCAACGCACGGCCCCCACAGTGGTCAGCTATATCAGGACCTGACTAAGACCATTCACAGTTCTTCGGTTCTTTTACGATTCTCCAGTTCTTTGAGAGTCAGCATTTGTTCAATTTGTCAGATATTTGTTTAGATATTTCAGTTGTAATAAGTGCTGACAATTATTTCCTAACGAATATAAACATATCTAGTGTGACTGAGGACTAGTCTGAGATCATAAACTTTGACCAAGTTTTAAGACCATGATTTTTGGTTCAAGAGTCCCTGTGAGGCTGATACGGCAGGGAAAGGATAAAGAGCTTTGAGCCAAGGATCAGTGAAAAAAAGGATGCGTTCACCCAGGAACAAGAAGCCTTGATCTGATGTTCAGCAAGAAAGGATGACTGGACATAACGAGGAGCAACGGTTTTGGACAGCTCAAAGAGTTTGGCCAAACTCAAGTCGCTGCCATAATTAGAGTTAATCGACTGTTGAATGTTTGTGCTATCTACACTGTTTATGAGTGATGCAATAGTAAAAGTCAATAATTAAGGCTTATTTATAGAAGGCAACTTTTTGTATCAAAATATATTTTGAAGTCATCCTTGCTATCCTGGGAACGCAACTCATCTGTGATTGTTGCCCCATGACTGCTAAATAATTATGGACATTACCCCTAGCAACGACCTCTGACCTGGCAGCCAGGGTCCTCAGTAGTTCCACAGGTTCGAAATGTTCAACATTACCAACCCACACCCCCTTTTTTCCTTTGGAACAGGACTTACATGAATGGGGATTTGGTCACAGGAGCACAAGGTTGGGAAGCAAGTGTGTTAACTATTGTGATTTTCTTCCTTCAGTTGATGAGGATACAATGTACAAAAAATGCAGCGGGGAAAAATCAAGACGAGACAAGTCCCCAGTGAAGAACTAAGAACACAGTACCAATAAATGATTTCACAGATCATCATGACGAGACAAGTCCCCAGTGAAGAACTAAGAACACAGTACCAATAAATGATTTCACAGATCATCATGACGAGACAAGTCCCCAGTGAAGAACTAAGAACACAGTACCAATAAATGATTTCACAGATCATCAAGACGAGACAAGTCCCCAGTGAAGAACTAAGAACACAGTACTAATAAATGATTTCACAGATCATCATGACGAGACAAGTCCCCAGTGAAGAACTAAGAACACAGTACCAATAAATGATTTCACAGATCATCAAGACGAGACAAGTCCCCAGTGAAGAACTAAGAACACAGTACCAATAAATGATTTCACAGATCATCATGACGAGACAACTCCCCAGTGAAGAACTAAGAACACAGTACCAATAAATGATTTCACAGATCATCAAGACACAAATGGTTTGGTCAACTAGTCATAATGGAACAAAATCAGTCAGCAGTAGCTAGAGCGTACTACATGAGAACAGCAGGTTACAAGTCAAGAGGCTGACCAAGAAAGAGATGGGTGGAGGAAGTAAGAGACACTACAGAAACACAATATGACATTAACACAAGCTATGCAACTAGCAAAAGACAGGAAACTATAAGAGGCAGAACAAAAGAAAAATAAGATAATGATAAAATACTAACACAGATGATTTTGAAAAGACAAAAAAAAGCATGGTGAGGCTCAGTAAAGAAACACCTACGTCTCAAGTCCCCGAGTCCCAAGAGAAGAGTAGGTCACACTTTTCCTTTCCCGTGCAGAGCAGCCTTCATCATGGCGAAGTTTACCTCTTCGCAAGGGAGGCAAACCCAGACTGATTTCCTGCTTCAGCAGTCCTGGTGTCAGCGTGGTCAAGTTCAGTGGGGTCGCTGAAAAAAAAGAATCAAAAAACAAAATACTGCAAATAAAGGGCAGGTCCATTTAGATGTGTCACTTCCGTCCATGGCATAATGTTGACACATCACCCACCGAGTGTCGACTGGTCTAGGTCTTTGTGCACCATATTCCTGAAAGAGGATTATTTTGTTTCTTATTCTGTATTCACCAGCTGTAAGCTCCGGCAGAAAGTCCTGGTTGATCGTCTATTTTGGACTTTGGCTTCATGCCAGGGCCTGAGTTTTGCATGTACATCCATTTTACTAGCTTATTTGTGTGCAGCTGGTTGTTCCTTGCCACTCTGGCATATGGATTTCAACTTTGAAGGAAGCTTCCAATTCGTCGAGTCTTGTTGGGGAGGCAACAAGTCTATTCCTGCTTTTCCCCACAATATGACTCCAGAACCCACACCAGCAATTTACTTCCACAACACCCATAAAGATAATTTAGCATCAAACATACAGAGCATATCCGCATAGATAACTCATAATGGTGCCCGTCTCTCTAGCGTAGTTGGCTTAACCGGATTGCGCGGTAAGCGGGTAACGAACTCCTTGTGGTCCGGGTTCACTCCCGGGAGTAGGCAGAAAAGCCTCATTTCTCCCAGATTTACCGTATTTACAATGGAATCAAGGCCGAAAGGTTGCGATATCCATAATACCGAGCCTAAGGGTTAACAACTCATGGCTTCTGGATACTAAAACAAAACAAACAAACAAACAACCCATAATGGCCAGTCATGGTACTCTGAAGATCCTTCAGAGCATTCAGATGGAGAGTGATAACAAGGAATGACAAGACATACAATCTGTGACTAGAATGTGATCAGCCCAGGTTGATTCCCAACTAGGTCATGTGTGATGTCAAAAATCACAATCTGGTTACACAATAATGCGTCTCGGTGGGTGTGAAGCCTTGACCAATAGCATTCTGCACACCCTACTGATTTGTTAGCTTGGAGAGGGAAGGAGAGCTCTGCAACACAGTCTCCATGTAGATTTTTCAGCACCAGGATGAAAGAAGATATCTTAACACTACTTACTCTAAGAGAAGCAAGTTAAAATTTAAAAGTTAATAGTCTTTTAAAAATTTACATCATACCAATTCCCACTGAACCATATTAGGTGGTCTTTGGCTACAATCAGATGTCGGCCAGACTTTGGACACTGAGAGCAGTTGGCACACAGATGAGTGGTGCTACCATTCTACCAAGCTGAGAAGGGGAGAGAGAGAGAGAGAGAGATGGGGATAGTTGGCAGACAGATGAGTGGTGCTACCATTCTACCAAGCTGAGAAGGGGAGAGAGAGAAAGGGAGAGAGAGATGGGGATAGTTGGCAGACAGATGAGTGGTGCTACCATTCTACCAACCTGAGAAGGGGAGAGAGAGAAAGGGAGAGAGAGATAGGGATAGTTGGCACACAGATGAGTGGTGCTACCATTCTACCAAGCTGAGAAGGGGAGAGAGAGAAAGGGAGAGAGAGATGGGGATAGTTGGCACACAGATGAGTTGTGCTACCATTCTACCAAGCTGAGAAGGGGAGAGAGAGAAAGGGAGAGAAAGGGAGAGAGAGAGATGGGGATAGTTGGCAGACAGATGAGTGGTGCTACCATTCTACCAAGCTGAGAAGGAGAGAGAGAGAAAGAGAGAGAGAGAGAGAGAGAGAGAGATGGGGATAGTTGGCAGACAGATGAGTGGTGCTACCATTCTACCAAGCTGAGAAAGGGAGAGAGAGATGGGGATAGTTGGCAGACAGATGAGTGGTGCTACCATTCTACCAAGCTGAGAAGGGGAGAGAGAAAAAGAGAGAGAGAGAAAGAGAGAGAGAGAGAGAGAGAGAGAGAGAGAGAGAGAGAGAGAGAGAGAGAAAGGGAGAGAGAGAGAGAGAGAGAGAGAGAGAGAGAAAGGGAGAGAGAGAGAGAGAGAGAGAGAGAAAGGGAGAGAGAGAGAGAGAGAGAGAGAGAGATGGGGATAATTGGCAGACAGATGAGTGGTGCTACCATTCTACCAAGCTGAGAAGGGGAGAGAGAAAAAGAGAGAAAGAGAGAGAGAGAGAGAGAGAGAGAGAGATGGGGATAGTTGGCAGACAGATGAGTGGTGCTACCATTCTACCAAGCTGAGAAGGGGAGAGAGAAAGAGAGAGAGAGGGCGAAAGAGAGAAAGATGCACACATATGTACACTAATCATAAACTTATTACAAAGGTGATATTCAGAACTTACTTTCATCTTGCACTGACACATGGGATGTCTTAAACCTGAAGATAGACATACAGA